ATCCCAGCGGGACAGTGCGTGGAGCCCACAGGCGCAGCGGCAGCTCCGCTGCATCCCGCGCAACCGAGAGGACTTGGTTTTCAGGCCATTCGGGGGAACCCGAGGAGTAGAGCATTGCAGAGGCTTTTGCAGTTTATTACATAAATGCCCTCCCGGCAGACACGTTAGGTCATTTAATTAGAACAATCATGAGACACATGTTTAGCAATGAGCAAGCTCAAAGGAGGGTGCAAACACGTGGCTCTGCTCTGCCCACGAGCAAAAAGATCAAGACGCTGCGTTTTGCTCGTCAGGTTTAGGGAGAGGAAAATCCCCCCGGGCCCTCTGCAAGTCACCGGGTCGCAGCGCCGGGCGGGCAGCGAGCCAGAGCGCGTCCCCGCGCGCCCAAAGGAGGAGTCGCCGTCCAACTTATATTAATTTTATTCACATTTCCAGAACAAAGCATTGGTGGAGGGCGACACTGCGGCCAGCGTCAAAAGGAAAAAGCTCAAGTATTTGTTGGTTTACGGCGGGCAAACCCTTCAGCGGCTGGGCGACGCCAGCGGCCGCGCTGCTGGCCCCGCTTCCAGTTCAAGTGAGAGGAATTGCGAAAACCAGCTCGCTCGTCACACGAGGCACGTCCAAAACGTTCCAGCTCCCTGTGCTCTACGTTCCTACGTGGAGCAGCGGAGGAGCCAGCAGGAAATCTGCAGCTTGACGAGCTCCTCCGCTGCCCGGTTTATTCCGTCTTTTTCTTGTTTTGGTTGCGCGGTTTTGCTCGCGGCGCCGCCGAACGCGGCGACCCGGCTTGAACGCGATTCGTCACCCAGAGCAGGAATTTGCTGCTGCACCCGGGATATGAGGGTGATCAGGGTGGCACCGAGAAACTGTATCGGGGCTCCCTGCTCAGGAGGAAAGAGAAAATGAGAAAATACAAAAAAGACTGTTTTGGGGTTCAAGAGCAGGTCCAGCAGTAGGACATGTGGGTATCGGCGGCTGGGGCTTTTCCACTGCGCCGCTCGGCCACACGGAGCTGCCCAGGGCCGCGTGGACCGGCCCGGACAGCAAGGCCTTGGGAACACAAGCGCCTGCAGAGCCCTGCTCAGGGCCTGCCCCTCCGAGGGCTGCACGAAAAAGGCAAATTTTCATAAAATCCAGAGACACAAAAGTCAATTCCTAAGTCATGGGTCAAGTCAGAGCTAGAACAGGAGGGTTTTCTTCTGGTGGCAAATATTAGGAATTTTTTAACCTGTCCAATGAAGACCCTCAAAGCCTTTGTTTTGCCCTTGCATTGTTTTCAGGTTGCTTAATGTCATTACAATAAAGCTATATTTGGAAGAAGAGTTAAAACAGCTCTGTGCACTCTGCAAAAAATAGCAGGTTTGCAGAAAGGCACAAGAAGCAGATTCCTGCCTTTCCTAACCCTTAAAGGTTTCCTCCCTCCCTTCTTGCTAAAAGCACTGCCTGTAACTCAATAAACTCCACATTCACATTTTCTTCTTCATCCAGCTGGCTTGGAAGCCCCTAGGATTAAAAATCTCTCTGCTGTTTGAATAATTTCAGTGACTGGAAGTTCACTGCTCATTTCACTGATTCTCTTCATCCTCTATCTATATATAGTAAAAAATAATATATATATATTCTTTTCTTTTTGCTGGAGGCAACCTGCTGTCCCCAACTCAGTCTCCCAAAGGGAGGAGGAAAAATAGAAAGATCTGCAGGACTTGCATGGGGGGAAGGAGGCCAAAGGGAGACGCGCTGGGCACCTCCAGCCCTGGCTCTTTGGCAAACACCCTTGTTGTCCCATTATATTTTAATAAATTAAAGTCATATCTGGTCTAGCCCATGTTAAGTTACCACATTCTGCTGCAGCTGCCTGTGCAGTGAACTGTTATATGGGATTTTGGATATTCCGTGTCCCACCACCGTTACGTGGAATGCTTAACGTCCTTAACTTCTTATACAAAAATAGAAAGTATGGAGATAAATTGCTCTGTACGTTAATCCGGGGCTGAATGGATCCAGCAGCTCGGATTCTGCTCTGTTGACAATTTTAAGGAACTTCTTATGACTTTCGGAAGGTCACCAGGACCTCTCGGGAGCTGGAAGGTTGAACACAGGATATGGAGAAGATGAAGCAGGGGGTCCTTGCATCGTCCCACCAGCGCGTCGAGCCTGTTGGCCCTCGGTTCTGGAGCAGCTGCAGTGCCGGGACTAAGGCAACAGCATTAGCAATGAAGATGCCAAGAGCAGGAGGGAGCCGGAGGCACCCGGGATGGATGGATCGGGCTGGCATCGGGCAGTGCAGCCCCGGCTGGGCCCGGCAGCTCGTCTGTCTTGGGGAGCGGGGCCTGGAGAAGGGCCTGCTCCGGCCTGGAGAAGGGGACGCTTTGGCTCAGAGAAGGGCGCGCTCGGCCCGCACGGAGGCTCCGGCTGCGCGCCCGGCGCTGCCAGGGTGGCAGAGGGACCCCGGAGCCGTGAGGAGGACGCCTCACCGGGACAGTCCACGCTCATGAAGCTCCAGCTTTGGGAGTAGCCGGAACACCCGTGCTCTCCTCCCGCCAGCAACGCGCACGGGCTGCGGCAGAGCCCCGAGCCCCATGCCCTCCTGGACACGGGTTCCTCCTCCTCAGAGGATCCTTCGCTCCTTGTCTTGCCGTTGTTCAAACGCCGGCCCCCTCGGAGCAGATCTCCTGCCGGTGCTGCCTGGCTCCCAGAGGGGCCCGGAGCGCTCGGGGCCCTGTCGCTGAAGCAGCCGATCGGCACAAGGTGGAGCCCACCTGGAGGCTGGGAAGGCCAAAGCGCCAATTCCCAAAGTTTCTCATTGCAGGAAATAAAAGCAGCTTGTTCCTCGGACGTGTTTGCATCTCTACGTGCACGGGGCCGCTGGGTTTTCGCGCCGCACAAGTGGCCGATGGTGAGGAGGGCGCAGGCGGATGCAGCACGTCCCCAAGGGTGCCCCATGGTCTCATTCTGCCACAGTCAGGACAGCAGCGGCCCAGGAGTCCTGACGTGGCCCTCGATGGGGTGCAGAGTCCACTAGTCAGGATTGGAATTTGTCAGATCAGCAGGAGAACTGGAATTTAAAAACCAGTCCTGAAAATGTCAGTTCTTGAGTCACAGTTCTGAAGGATACAGACGGGTTGCTATGAAGTGCAGATTTTTCCTATTTTTTCACTCCCTTCTCAGAGTTTTTATACATATGAATGTACATATACATATATTAAACGTGCTGGTGGTCATTCAGTCTCTTTCAGGCATTGTCACTGGACACAGCAGGCATTTTACTCATAGCTTTTTCTTACTGTCGCAGCTCCACCAATGCTACCCTAGATTTCCCCTTATAACTGGAGGTTTCTTCTAGATCTCCTCAGAGAGATTGATATATCAAAACCAAATTCAATTAAAAAATATAATAATTTCTTCTTGAAAGCGAAGCTGCCCCATATTCCAGATTGTGGCAGGATTTTTATATCTTCAAAATACTTATAACAAATTCTACTTAAAATATATCTAAGTCCTAATCTGCCTGTTCGGCACTTCGTAACACTCTAAACTGAAGATTTGTTCCCTGTAAATCCGTGCTGGGCTCCGGCCAAGAGCTCTGCTCAGTGTTCTTCCGCAGACCGGAGCATGAGGATGGCATTGGAGATTTTCAGAGCCGGGCCCAGCTTGATGCCGAGTATTTTAACTAGGTCGGTCTGGTTCAGAAGTAGAAAGGCCTCTCCATCTATTTGCTAGATGTTGGAAACATGGGAGAAAAGAGAGATTATTATCTAGAAATTGGCAGGTTGCTTTTTACTTTTAGTCTTTCCAATTAATCAACACACTTAGGACTGAGAAATAAAAGCACAAACACTGCCTTGAGGATGCTCAGTCATTAGGCTTTATGCTCTGTAAAAGAATAAATCCTCTGAAATCCAACAATTGTCAAAAGTCCTAGATCTTATTCACAATCTGCAGCCAGAAATTAGACCAGGAAGTGTGGAGCGCAAACCTCCAGCAGGCAGCTATCCCAGCAG